TCTGTTCGAGATATTCTTTTAATAATGGTTTGTTTGGCAATCGTTAGTTGGAGAGAATGTATTTGAATTTGGTGTTACAAATTTAAATTTATTATTTGTTTTTATATAGTAAGAGTGTATTTAAATTTTGATCTAAATATATGTATTTTAATTTATGTATTTTAAAGATTAAAAAATATGAATTTTAAATATCCCCTCATACTCATGAATTTAATATTTAATTTTAAATTCTTTATTCATTCTCTACATCTTTCACTGCAACAAGATAGCTTCTCTTTGATGAAGCCTCAACAATCGCATTCAAAATTGTATATTCAATCTCCAAACCGAACTCCACTAAGCGGCCTAATGATTGCGCACCTCATTGAGACCAATGACCTATTCACCAGATTTGAAGATCGAATCCTCAGTTACTAATCTTTAACAATATTAACCTACTAACCATTGTTCTTATTAAAAAAAAAAAAAATCTCCAAACCTTTTTCTCTCCTTGTTTTCGCTGCTCTATTTGTCTGGGCCAATGTCGATTGAGTTAAACTTGTAGAGCAAGTGATCAGGGGCGGAGGCAGAAATTTTTTTCGGGGGGGGCAAAATATTAAAATTTTTAAAACTCAGGGGAGATTAGATAATTTTTCATATACTAATTTGCAAGATTTTCAAATTTCAGAGGAGGCGACCGTCCCCCCCTCCTACCCCCTGGCTCCGCCAGTGCAAGTGATGGTGGATGCCAATTCACTCATGGAGGGTAGTTTATTAATGGTGATATTGAGACTTTTACAAACTTGTATTTTATCAGAATTAATGAACTGAGAATGGACAAAGCGAGCAGTGGCCAAGTTAAGGGAAATGAGGGACTTCTTGCTATTGTTAGCACCCATGATGACCACAAGCTTGTCTTTCTAGTATTGGGCAATGGTGATGAGGCAATAGAGTTCATACAAGGCCATTGTGGGCGATGGTGGTTGCAACGATGGAGGTGAAATAGTGAGGAATGGAGGTGGGTGAAGGAGTATTGAAATAATGGGTGGGTGATTTTCACAT